CATCCCGGATCTGGCTGCTGAGACAGGAGCACACGGCCACGCCTGCCCCAGCCCTGCAGTGTGACACAGAGCCCACGAGTTCCCACCTACGGGAGAAAAGAAAAATAAGCTCCTGCCCTTTCTGAGGAACCTGAAACTATTTTCTGTGCCTGAGATTCTATTACATTGCCTAGCTGTTCACTCTGCACAAAAATACACCCCATTTAGTGCAAAATCTCTGCAACAAGCAGAAGCATGTAGACTGTTACTGAATGAAAGGGTGATGAGAAGGGATAGAGAGGAGCAGAGGAGGAGGAGGTGCTTAAATATTTACAAGACTGCCCTAGTGATATAAGCAGCAGCCCTGCATTGGTAGTTATGGATAGTATTCAATTATTAACCAGGAAACAACAGCTAGGCTCCTCCTGCACACTGCTTCTATGCTGCTGTGTTTTCATACAGGCAGATTTCCTTGTCTTATTAGGACAAACAAAACATTTGAAATTACCTGTTCACTATGGGATCAAATGCTTCTACTGTATTCAGGTACACGTTGCCATTATGACCTCCAACTGCAAAAATTTTTCCCATCAGTGTCGCTATGCCAACACCACCCCTTGGAGTTGTGAGCTCTGCCACATATTCCCATTTGTTACAGCGTGGGTCAAACCGCTCCACCGAGCTCAGGGGTGAGTTGTCATCAAAGCCACCTGCAAACAGCCATCACAGGGTCAGCTCTTGGCACTCCTGGTGCAGGGAATATCCAAGACTGGCATTATCAGATCATTCTCAGCATTCAGGGGGTACTGTCCAGCTCTCTCTTTATCCAAACTTAACAAGCTCCTAAAAATTAATCTAACAGCTCTTCTCACTGCAGAAACATCACCCAGAGAAATAATTTTCTTCTCAAGTTGCAAGGATTCTAATTTTATTATTTTTCTCCCTGAATTCATCATACTTAGAATGAAACAGCTTCCTATTTGGAAGAGGAAGAAACCTAATACCAGCAAAAGGATGGTCTCAATCTTAAACTTATTTTACTTTATGCAAAACACACTCTAGCACTGTTCTTAAATTACAGCATTGACAAATATCTGAATAGGAAAAAAAAAATTCATTTTCAATTCACTTATGTGCTTGAATATATATATGTTCATGTATACACATGTCAGAGCTTTTTAAACTATCACACCTGTGGCACACCTACCCAGCAGGAAAGCAGGTAAATACAAAGTAGCACACAAGACAAGCTGTAGAATAAGTGCAAAAAAAGGTAATGTTGTCTACACTCTACACAGAACAAACTGAAGTGCTTTGAAAGCATGTGAACTTAAGAATCGTTTCCTAAAAGGAAACTCAATAGTAGTGAGTCTTGAGAGGATTTTCTAATACAGACATATTGTCTTGAACAGATCAGCCCTCCTGAGATGCGGGTTAGGAGCTGCTTTTCATTTCCTTGCTAACGTACCTTCATTTAAGTGTGCCCTGGCTGTGCTTGCATTCTTCTGCTCAAGAACACCAAGTACAGGTCAGCTTTATCTGTTCCCGGTTCCTCTAGCAACAACAGCCTCTTCCAAAGCCCAGCACTTGGCAGCAGCAGCACTACAAAATGCCACATCCCTACTCACCCACAACATACAAGCAGCCGTGGAGCTCACTGACACCGTTCCCAGCCCTTCGCTGACCCATTTCTTTCACTTCTATCCACTTATCCAAGTGAGGATCGTATTTCTCCACACTGGAAAGAGATGCTACACCATCATTGCCACCCACAGCATAAACATGGTTCTGGAAAACAGTTGTACAAAGATTATTTGTGATGTAGCTGCCTTTACTCAGCTCTTCCGTAAGAAGTGTTGAAATTATAGGAAAATGTGGTATATCCACTTTCATTTAAGAATCCCAACAACAGATTTAACTATCTAACATAAATGCTATCTCTTCCAATGAAAGAAGTACAACAGTTTTGTAGTGTTGCAGCTGTTTTTCAGAGCACAGGGGGATTAAAGTAGAGCACACATTTGTTACCTTTCAACACAGTGACCATGACAAACCAGTCCGGTTCTGAATGAGATAGGAAGCATTATCCATGTCATTAGAAGGGTACTCCTCCCAGTACCTCAAATACTGGTGAAACAGTTCAACTTGCTGTGAGTATTAGCCTACATATCCTCACTTTTTGCACAGGATTTTGATGACCAGAGGTGCTCAATCCCACCAGCTGCCTTTTGTTTCAGACCTTGTGTTCTGCCTTGTGAATACAGCTTTGAAAAGCAGGTAAGCTCCCCAGCTGGCCCCGGCCCTGGAGGAACCAGCCACTCACCACCAGGGCTACAGAGCCGACACCTCCCCGGGGAGTGTTCATGGAGGCCACAGTGCTCCAGCGATCCGAGTCGATGTCGTAGCGCTCCACGTCGCTGAAGCACGTGTTGTCATCCAAGCCCCCGATGGCATAG